ATTGAAATCCACAACCATGTGGACAATTTCAACAGAAAGGAAGAAACTATGAAAATGAACAAAATCTGGCTGGCAGCATTTTAAAAAAACTCTAAAATCAGGACAGTAAATAAAAACCACACCCAAAAACAGAGGAATTCCAGACAAGAAACAATCAGGGCCAGCTAATCACATCCCAACAAAGGATTCTCCCAGGCAGGGAGAAGCCAGACCTTAAAACTGCTATGCCATTAAATACTAATCAAGGTGACCAATTGAAACAGCCACACCTGCCTCCAACAGACAAGAGTTCTTTCCCCCGTCCTGGACATTCCACAGATATATAAACCTCACTTGCCTAGTTTCAAACAGACCTCACAACCTCTGAGGATGCCTGCCACAGATACAGGCAAAACGTCAGGAGAGAATGCTTCTGGAACATGGCCATATAGCCCGAAAAACTCACAACAACCCAAACTTTTTCTCTTTTTCTAAGATAGTTTCAAATTCTGTTTTTTTGTTGTTGTTTTTTTAATCTGCTGCATCACACTCTTGACTCATGTTCAGTTTGCGGTCTATTAGGGCTCCTAAGTCCTTTTCACATGGACTGTTTTCAAGTCCGGGGTCACCCATTTCATCTTTGTTGCCAAAGTCTAGTATGGTAGAGTTCTCCCTGCTAAAATCCATCTTGTAACTCTTGGCCCACCTTTATAATCTCTTACGGTCCCTTTGGTCCCTTTTAAGATGAAATTTTAAATTTTATTGCATAGCAGTAATAAACAAAACACAAAAACAAAGAACAAATACTGAAATAACGAACGAAAACTGTACAGTTCCAACATCGTACCAGGCCTGTTCCCTCCACCCCCATCCTCATGAACCCACCACCTACGATTTCTGTCACTACTCACTGTGACTCTATACAATATATAAGCAAATGGAAGAGAAATATAAGGAGTTACAGAATAGATATGATAACAAAACTAAAAAAGAAATAGATATGTTGAAAGAAGAGCTGAAGGAAATTGATAAGTTTGATATATAGAAAAAAGAATTAATCGTTAAAATACGACCTAGCAAAATTTCTTGCTGCACAGTTACAAAGCCATATTGGGCTCACTACACACTACATCAAGGACTCAGCCCACTTCATAGAAAAAATCAGCAATCTCAAGCTAAATACCAACGACAAACTGATCAGCTTCGATGTGGTATCTCTATTTGCCATGGTCCCGGTAGCAGACACCATGGCACTCGTCAACCAGAGGTTCCCAGAAGACATCACAGCTCTGTTTCACCATTGCCTGACCACCAGTTACTTTCAGTGGGACAATGAATTCTACGAACAGAAAGATGGAGTAGCTATGGGGAGCCCTCTCAGCCGGTCATAGGTAACTTCTACATGGAACACTTTGAAAAACAAGCCCTGGAGACAGCAACCAAAAAGCCCACTATATGGTTCAGATATGTGGATGACACCTTCACCATTTGGAGCCATGGAGAAGAAGAACTCAACAGGTTCCTGGACCATCTTAACAGCATCCACCCAAAAATCCAATTCACAATGGAAAAAGAAAATGAAGGAAGACTGCCTTTTCTAGATGTCCTAGTTATCCGCAAACCAGATCAACAATTGGGTCACACCGTCTACAGAAAACCCACACACACAGATAGATATCTACATAAAAACTCCAACCATCACCCAAGTCAAAAAAGAAGCACCATTAAAGCCTTGGCAGACCGTGCAAAAAGAATCTGTGAACCCCACCTTCTCCAAGATGAACTGAACCACCTCAACTGGGCTCTCCAGGCCAAAGGATACTCCACCTCAGACATCAGAAGAGCTGCAAGACCAAGAACAAGCCACGAGAGTCAAGATGAAGATCCACCCAGAGGAAAAGTGTTCTTGCCATACATCAAGGGAACCACTGACCGCATAGGGAAGCTGATGAGGAAACACAACATACAAACAATCTACAGACCCACCAAGAAAATCCAACAAATGCTACGTTCAGCAAAGGACAAGAGGGATCTTCTCACCTCTGCAGGAGTCTACCGTATACCATGCAGCTGTGGACAAGTCTACATAGGGACCACCAAACGCAGCAGTGCCCAAACACGAATCAAGGAACATGAAAGGCACTGCAGACTACTTCAACCAGAGAAGTCAGCCATAGCAGAGCACCTGATGAGCCAACCTGGACACAGCATATTATTTGAGAACACAGAAATGCTGGACCACACCAACAACCACCATGTCAGACTACACAGAGAAGCCAATGAAATCCACAAGCATGTGGACAATTTCAACAGAAAGGAAGAGACCATGAAAATGAACAAAATCTGGCTACCAGTATTAAAAAACTCTAAAATTACAACAGCAAAACAACAGAGAGGAAGCAACCAGGCACAGATTAACACCTCCCAGCAAGAGATTTTCCCAGGCTCAGACAGGCCTTCAAATGCTAATGAAGGTGATCAGCTGAAACATTCACACCTAACTGCAGCAGGGAAGAGCTCCTTGCCCCACCCCAGCCATTCCACAGATATATAAACCCATTGTCCTAATTCCAACAGACCTCACTACCTCTGAGGATGCTTGCCATAGATGCAGGCGAAACATCAGGACAAATGCCTCTAGAACATGGCTCTATAGCCCGAAAAAAACCCACAAGAACCTAAGATTACAAAATATTTGCGTAAAGAATGGAAAATTTTGGAATAGGCAAGGAATTTATTGAAGTCATAAAAAGAAATATATAAAAAGGAGAAGGCAAAAGGGAAAGTAAATGGGGGATATTTACTTACTTTACTTACTTACTTACTTACTTTATTTATATACCGCTTTTCTCAGCCCTCAGGCGACTCAAAGCGGTGAACAACGTCAGTACAAAACATCACAAAACAAGTATAGGCAATTAAGAACAACTGTAACATAGATCATTGACATCATTGACATCAGTATAACAATCATTAGCACCTCAACAGTAAAATCAGAATTATTTATTTATTATTATTTATTAACTTTATTTGTACCCCGCTAGCATCTCCCGAGGGACTCGATGCGGCTCACACAGGCCGAAGCCTCAAAACACAATACAGTAAAAACATAACACAACAATAGCAAAGCAAATCAAACAATAAGCAATAACGACACCAACAAAACATCAAACATTATTAAAACTGGCTCGGCCGGCGCGATGGGTACAGGAAATTAAAAGTGCTGAGGTGGTGGGGCACGTGGAATTAAAAGTGCAGTGTGCAGTGGCAATTAATTATGCTAAGGTACTATCAGAACTCAGGTGGGGATTCCTAGTCTGAAAAGGCACAGCGGAACAACCAAGTTTTTAAATTCCTTCTGAAAGCAGCAAGAGAAGGGGCCTGTCGGAGATCTTTTGGGAGGGTGTTCCAAAGTCGGGGGGCCGCCACAGAGAAGGCCCTGTCCCGTGTCCCCACCAAGCGCGCTTGCGATGTAGGTGGGATCACGAGCAGGGCCTCCCCAGATGACCGAAGCGAGCGTGTGGGTTCGTAGATGGTAATGCGGTCAGGTAGGTAGGTCCCAAACCGTTTAGGGCTTTGTAGGTGAGCACCTGCACCTTGAATTGGGCCCGGAAAATAAAAGGCAGCCAGTGGAGCTCCTTAAACAGAGGGGTAGACCTCTCTTGATAATGAGCCCCGGTTAGCATCCTGGCTGCTGCCCGCTGGACCAATTGGAGTTTCCGGGCCGTCTTCAAGGGCAGCCCCACGTAGAGCGCATTGCAGTAGTCCATTCTAGAGGTGACCAAGGCATGGACCACCCCGGCCAGATCAGCCTTCATGAGGTATGGTCGCAGTTGGCGCACAAGTCTCAGTTGCGCAAAGGCCCTCCCGGATACCGCCGACACCTGAGCCTCAAGTGTAAGCGAAGAATCCAAGAGGACACCCAAACTGCGGACCTGTGCCTTTAGGGGGAGTGCAACCCCGTCCAGCACAGGTGACCACCCTATACCCCGATCCGGTTTACGATCGACCAGGAGGACCTCTGTCTTGTCGGGATTGATCTTCAGCTTGTTCCTCCTCATCCAGATCGACACAGCGGACAGGCACTCGCCTAGCACTTGAGAAGCCTCCTTGGAATTAGGTGGAAAGGAGTAGTAGAGTTGTGTGTCATCCGCATAGAGATGGCACCCAACTCCAAAACTCCGGATGGCCTCGCCCAGCGGTTTCATGTAGATGTTAAAAAGCATGGGCGACAAAATAGAGCCTTGCGGGACCCCACAGGTCAAAGGCCAGGGGTCCGAGCAGGCGTCTCCCAGCTTCACCATCTGAGTTCGTCCCTCCAGGAAGGACTGGAGCCACGACAAAACCGTGCCCCCAAGGCCCATCCCGGAGAGACGGCCCAGAAGGATACCATGATCGATGGTATCGAAAGCCGCTGAGATGTCCAAGAGAACCAGCAGAGTCACACTCCCCCTGTCCAGCTCTCTGCGGAGGTCATCCACCAAGGCGACCAAGGCTGTCTCAGTGCCATGACCAGGCCTGAAACCAGACTGTGACTGATCTAGGTAGTTGGTATCGTCTAGGAAACTCTGGAGCTGGGAGACGACCACCCGCTCCAGCACCTTGCCCAAAAAGGGGAGGTTAGAGATCGGTCTGTAATTATTCAGTACCGTGGAGTCAAGGGAAGCTTTTTTGAGGAGTGGACGAACCACAGCCTGCTTCAAGTTAGATGGAAAAATTCCTTGCTCCAACGATGCATTGATAATCGGTACAAACCATGTCTCGTCATCCATTATTCTGTATTCCTATGTTCAATTACACTGTTTACTCAAATGCTTGTTCGAACAGCCAGGTCTTCACTTTCCTCCGAAACGCCAGCAGGGAGGGGGCCAATCTGATATCTGCAGGCAGGGCGTTCCACAGCCGAGGGGCCACCACTGAGAAGGCCCTGTCTCTCGTCCCCGCCAAGCGCACCTGTGATGCAGGCGGGACAGAGAGCAGGGCCTCCCCAGATGATCTTAGTGTCCTAGCCGGTTCATAGGAGGAGATGCGTTCGGAGAGGTAAGTAGGACCAGAATTGTTTACAGGCTAATGCCAGCACTTTGAATTGTGCCCGGTAGCAAACTGGCAGCCAGTGGAGCTGGCGCAACAGAGGAGTTGTATGCTCCCTGAGTGCCGCTCCTGTTAGCAACCTGGCTGCCAAACGCTGGACCATTTGAAGCTTCCGAGCAGTCTTCAAAGGCAACCCCACGTAGAGAGCATTGCAGTAGTCTATACGGGATGTAACCAGAGCATGGACTACCATGGCCAAGTCAGACTTCCCAAGGTAAGGGCGCAGCTGGCGCACAAGTTTTAACTGTGCGAATGCTCCCCTGGTCACCGCTGAAACCTGGGGTTCCAGGCTCAGCGACGAGTCCAAGATCACACCCAAGAAACGAGTCCAAGATCTGGATTATATGGCAGTGTAGAAGGATCAAGTGGGATATCTTATCAAGTATCATTCTGATCTGCCGGAACAAAAAGGGGCAAGGGAGACAGGGCTTGAAACTCAGGATGGAAAAGCTAGCTTCCCAACATCCTAGCAACTGTCAGGATGGGTAAGGAATCACTGAGTAGAGAAGCAACTCAAATGTGCAGGGAGGCATTCAGCAGAGCCCAGCTACCAAGAAAGATAGGTTGCTGCTAAATGATTGGGCAAAGGGTCTTCTAAATGTGATGGCTGGGGCAGTTGATGCTACTAAGTTCATCAAAAGACAAGGATTCAGAGTTTGCAGACGACACCAAATTGGGATGGATAGCCAATACTCCAGAAGACAGGAGCAGAATTCAAAACCATCTTAACAGATTAGAGAGATGGGCCAAAACTAACAAAATGAAGTTCAACAGGGACAAATGCAAGATACTCCACTTTGGCAGAAAATGAAATGCAAAGATACAGAATGGGGGACAATGCCTGGCTCGAGAGCAGTACGTGTGAAAAAGATCTTGGAGTCCTCGTGGACAACAAGTTAAACATGAGCCAACAATGTGATGTGGCGGCAAAAAAAAAGCCAACGATTTTGGCCTGCATCAATAGGAGTCTTATGTCTAGATCCAGGGAAGTCATGCTACCCCTCTATTCTGCCTTGGTTAGGACCACACCTGGAATATTGTGTCCAATTCTGGGCATCACAATTGAAGAGAGATATTGACAAGCTGGAATGTGTCCAGAAGAGGGTGACTAAAATAATCAAGGGTCTGGAGAACAAGCCCTATGAGGAGTGGCTTAAAGAGCCGGGCATGTTCAGCCTGAAGAAGAGAAGGCTGAGAGGAGATATGATAGCCATGTATAAATATGTGAGAGGAAGCCACAGGGAGGAGGGAGCAAGCTTGTTTTCTGCTTCCCTGGAGACTAGGACGTGGAACAATGGCTTCAAAGTACAAGAAAGGAGATTCCATCTGAACATGAGGAAGGACTTCCTGACTGAGAGCTGTTCAGCAGTGGTGGAGGCTCCTTCTTTGGAGGCTTTTAAACAGAGGCTGGATGGCCATCTGTCGGGGGTGCTTTGAATGCAATTTTCCTGCTTCTTTGCAGGGGGTTGGACTGGATGGCCCTTGAGGTCTCTTCCAACTCTATGATTCTAAAAGAAGAGTCTATTGAATGTCCACCCCAAGTAAACCATGGACAGCCAGGTACTCACACCTATGGTGGGAATGTAAGGAGACACAAAAGTTCTGGAATCAAATCTTCATGAAAATTGAATTATATACAAAAATAAAAAATGATTTAAATACAGAGATTCTCTTAAAAGGGATTTGCGGGGACAGTAAAATAAAAGCACATGAACAAAAATTAGTTATGATGATGTTTAGAGCAGCACATGCTGTGATTTCCTGGGGGGTGGAAAGAAAAAAAGAAATGGACCCTGGGAAAATGGTATGAATATATGTGGGAACAAGTACAATTGGAAATTATGGACATTATAAGAAATGAAAAACTATGGACAGAAAAGCAGAAGGAAATCAAAGAAATATGGTCACCCTTTAAAAATTGGATACAAGAAGCTAAACCAGAGGACGATCATTGGGGGAAAAAAATAGATAGAATGCAACGATGGTTCGAATAAAGGAAGAAGGACCAACTTGTCAACGGGGGGAGGGGGAGGGTTAAGGGGTGGAAAGAAAAAATGTATTGAAACCAAAGCAATGTAAAGATAAATGTATTACAAATAGTTGTTAACAATACAATAAAGATTTTTTTTTAAAAAAACTACAGGGAATACCATTGCTTTAACTATGCGAATCTTCATTGCTTTCCTCCCGGGATACAATGGATCGCTAGGCCATGATCAGAGTCTAATATGTTCTAGTCTTGTAGTGTTTTTCTCCAAGAGCCATGTTCTAGAGCAGTGTTTCTCAACCTGGGGGTCGGGACCCCTGGAGGGGTCGCGAAAGGGTGTCAGAGGGGTCGCCAAAGACCATCAGAAAACACAGTATTTTCTGTTGGTCATGGGAGTCTCTGTGTGGGAAGTTTGGCCCAATTGTATCATTGGTGGGGTTCAGAACGCTCTTTGATTGTAGGTGAACTATAAATCCCAGCAACTACAACTCCCAAATGTCAAGGTCTATTTTCCTCAAACTCAAACTCCACCACAAGGATTCTGTGTGAGAAGTTTATTATTATTATTATTATTATTATTATTATTATTATTATTATTGCGGTTGCTTATACCCCGCCCTTCTCACCCGGGGGGACTCAGGGCGGCTTACACACACAAGGCACAATTCAATGCCTGTATTACAAAAACATAATATCAAAAACATAACATCAGTAACAACAGTAATTATAACACTGATAACAATTAACGTAAACAATCAATATTATCGGCAGGAATAGCCATAAACCCGTAAAAACAATTAAAACAATAAAAACAATACAATATTTGAGCCAAGTTTGGTCCAGATCCATCATTATTTGAATCTACAGTGCTCTCTGGATGTAGTTGAACTACAACTCCAAAAGTCAAGGTCAATACGCACCAAAGCCTTCCAGTATTTCTGTTGCTTGTGGGAGTTCTGTGTGCAAGTTTGGTTCAATTCCATTGTTGGTGGAGTTCAGAATGCTCTTTGATTGTAGGTAGAACTATAAATCCCAGCAACTACAACTCCCAAATGACAAAATCAACCCCCACCCCCCACCCCACTCCAACCCCACCAGTATTCAAATTTGGGCATATCAGGGGTGTTTGTGTCAAGTTTGATCCAGTGAATGAAAATACATCCTGCTTATCCGGTATTTACATTACTATTCATAACAATAGTAAAATTACCGGGCGTCCCCTGGGCAACATCCTTGCAGACAGCCAATTCTCTCACACCAGAAGCAACTTGCAGTTTCTCAAGTTGCTTCTGACATGATTTTTTTTAAAGTAGCAACGAAAATAATGTTATGGTTGAGGGTCATCACAACATGAGGAACTGTATTAAAGGGTTTATAAAGATTGAGTAACACTGCTCTTGTTGTTGTTCATTCGTTCAGTTGCTTCCGACTCTTTGTGATCTCCTGGACACTGTTCTAGCAGCAACCAATCTATATTGACATATTTCTTCATCTCCTTTGCTAATTCTCTCTCTAAATCGCCCTAAAAGACACTTTTCTGGGCTTTTCTTAACCTTATTAGTCGTAATTTTGCTGGTTTCTTTAATCACATTTTCCCAAAGATCTTGTACCATCTTATAAGTTCACCAAATATGGGAAGAGTGCCTTTCTGCGTCTTGCACCTCCAGCATTCCCTTTGGTGAAATTGATCTATTTTGGCCCATTCATCTCTGGGTTTATAAAACAGGTGATGGAGGTGGAGGATGAGGAGAAGGAGTTGTCCTCCCTGTCCCTGGGGCAGAGGCCCAGAAGAAGGGGAGTGTGCTGGCCAGAAGCAGATGAGCCTCGTGGCAGTGGAGGACAAGGCGCAAGCCAGTAAAAGGCTCTGCCCCGGACTGGGGCTAATGAGCACAACTTCCTGGGCATGGCCATGGACCAGACAAGCTGCCGAGTGTGAAACACTCCCACCTCCCTGCAACAACCCCCCTGATTTTGTTCCTTGACAAAATTGAAGGAAAAGTTGATAAGGAGAAGACCTGGTTATGGCTCACAAATGCAACCCTGAAGGAGATAGAAGACCTGATTTCTAAAAGGTTCCTGAGAGGGAGAGGCCTCCTGCCTTACCTTCGACGCTGGCCTCACTTCAATGATGTGCGACGGTAGAGAGGGCTCCTCTGCACAGGTTCCTTGTGGCTTGATGTGCGTCTGGAGAGAGGGCTCCTCTGCGCAGGTTCCTTGTGGCTTGATGTGCGTCTGGAGAGAGGGCTCCTCCGCGCAGGTTCCTGGTGGCTTGATGTGCGTCTGGAGAGAGGGCTCCTCCGCGCAAGTTCCTTGTGGCTCGGGAGGTCTGGAAAGGGGCAAGAGAAGGCCACAAAGCATGAGAGACTGGGGCATCCCACCCCCTGGATGGGGCCAAGGGTCCTGCAACCCCCTGGCTCCCTCCTTCCCTCCAATGGATGGTCCTGGAAGCCCCTGGGGCCCCATGAGGGCATCCCTCTTCTCCGCTCCAAGGGACTTAGCAAGAGATTGACCCCTGGAACTGGCTGCCACTGGGAGAGAGGGAGAGCTCTGGCAAGGCAACTAGGGGTCTGCCTGAGGACTGAGTGGCGGGAGTTTGGGATTGAGAGGAGGAGAGGGATTTACATGTGGCTGGTGACTGGCTGGCCCTTTCCACGCTCACCAATCCGCACCCACATGCAAATTCCCTCTCTGCATAGAAACCTCTCCTCCCTAAGGGCCCCTCTCGCTACTTCCTCCACCAGCCAATCAGCACCCATATGCAAATTCCCTCTCCCTCACCTCTCAGCCCCTCCCTCCTGCCCTCCCACAGCTAAGCCCCACCCACAAACTTTTTCCCCTGCTGTCTAGACTAGCGCTAGCTCTCAATCTGTTGCATGGAACCCTATTGTTCCACAAAAGCACCCTTAGGGGTTCCATGGAAAATCTTAAAAATCAAATTTGAACAGGATTTTAAAATCAATTCAAACAGGTCTACGTATTGGATTGTCTCTAATGAGAAGGAAGAGTCTGGTTTTCGCCCTGGCTACAGGACAGAGATGGCTTTGGTTGCCTTGGGAGATGATGTACGTAGAGAACTACACAGGGGAGTGTGTCCCTGGTGGTTCTCTTAGTGGCTTTCAGAGCCATCCCCTTGAAGGCGCAGGTTCGCAGCTTGGGTGTGATCCTGGACTCATCGCTGAGCCTGGAGCCCCAGGTCTCGGCGGTGACCAGGGGAGCATTTGCACAGCTTAGGCTCATGCGCCAGCTGCGCCCGTACCTTGGGAAGTCTGACTTGGCCATGGTAGTCCACGCTCTGGTTACATCCTACTTAGATTACTGCAACGCTCTCTACGTGGGGTTGCCCTTGAAGACGGCCCGGAAGCTTCAATTGGTCCAACGTGCGGCAGCCATGTTACTAACAGGAGCGGGACACAGGGAGCACACAACGCCCTTGTTGTACCAGCTCCACTGGCTGCCGATTTGCTACCGGGCTCAATTCAAGGTGCTGGCGTTGGCCTATAAAGTCCTAAACGGTTCCGGCCCAAGATACCTATCTGACCGCATCTCGGCCTACGAGCCCACAAGAACTTTGAGATCGTCCGGGGAGGCCCTGCTCTCGATCCCGCCTGCCTCACAGGCGCGCCTGGCGGGGACGAGAGACAGGGCCTTCTCGGTGGTGGCTCCTCGGCTGTGGAACACCCTTCCCGTGGACATCAGACTGGCTCCTTCCCTGTTGATATTCTGCAGGAAATTAAAGACCTGGCTGTTCAAGAAGGCATTCGAACAAGAAGTGCAATAATTGGTAATGACGACAGGAATGGAACAACGGAAAATGACACTGGATTGTGGTTCAAACGATGAGACGACGTGAATGGCTGTTTGTATTATTGATATTGTTGATGTTTTTGATAATCATGTTTTTGGTTACTGCTAGATTGATATTTTAGATTGTGTCTTGAATTCTGAACCTTGTTTTTCTATGTTGTACACCGCTATGAGTCACCCCCAGGCTGAGAACAGCGGTATATAAGCAAAGTAAATAAATAAATCAATCAATCAATCAATCAATCAATCAACCATGGTATCCTTCTGGGTCGCCTGGCTGGGATGGGACTCGGGGGCACTGTTTTACAGTGACACCGGTCTTTCCGGGAAGGACAGACCCAGAAGGTGGCACTAGGGGATGCCTGATCGACCCTATGGCCATTATCCTGTGGGGTCCTGCATCATCCGGAGTTTTGGAGTTCAGTGCGATCTGTACACAGATGACACCCAAGCGAAGGATGCCACTCAGACCCTGAACCAGTGCAGCTGTAATGGACTGGATGAGGACAAACAAATTGAAATTGAAACCAAACAGTATCAGTTGTAAGGCAGATTAAGGAATAGGAGGCAACCTGTGTTAGATGGGGATACACTCCCCTGGAAACATCAGGTCTGCAGTATGGGGGTCTTTCTGAACTTATCACTACGCCTGGAAGCCTAGGTGTCGGTGGTGGCCAGAAGGGCCTTTGCACAATTAAAACTTGTGCGCCAGCTGCACCCGTACCTTGAGAAGCCAGACTTGGCCATGGTGGTCCACGCCTTAGTTACATCCCACCTAGACTACTGTGACAGGTTCTATGTGGGGGTGCCCCTGAAGAGCGCCCGGAAACCCAATTAGTCCAAAGAGCTGCAGCCCAGGGAGCACACAACTCCTCTGCTACAGCGCCTACACTGGCAGCCAATTTCTTTCCAAGCCTGATTAAAGGGGCTGGTTTTAACCTTTACATCCCTAACTGGTTGAGGTCCAACTTACTTATCTGCCCACACCTCCTCATACCAACCAGTTCTCTCTTTAAGATCTTCAGGGAAAGCTCTACTCTCACTTCCACCACAGTCGCAAATGTGGCTGACAGCAATGAGGGAGAGTGCATTCTCGGTGGCCTTCCCGAGCCAGTGGAACACCCTCCCGAAAGAAATTAAAACAGTGCCCTCCTTTCTTCTTTTAAGAACCAATTAAAAACTTTCCTGTTTAGACAGACTTTTCGTGAAGGAAATTAATCTGTAGTGACGGAAAACACCATAACGTTACTGACTGGAGTAGAGTGCAATACAGTGTTTTGTATAGATGCTTGTAAGGACTTCATTGCATTATTAAACGGGTGAAAAGATTCAGCTGAGTAGAGCTCCCCTTTCCTATAAAATAGGAGAACTGTTTACCCTCACCACACTACCATGCAACTCAGTATGTATCCGCATTCTTTGAGTTAATTTCTCATCACATTACAGTTCTGGGCTGATTCTCAAGGCTTTTTAAAAATTGTTTTGGCAAAGACCTACTTTCTCGGTGAGGAAAAAGTAATGGCGGTGACGGAACTTTTACTAACCGCCCAGTTTTCTGTATGCCCAGGAGGGAGTCTCCCACAGCTTCCCTTCCCACATTTTAAACTGGGAGCAACAAATGCCACTACATTACAGGAAAGGTCAAACTTCCCGATGATTCCAAAAAATCATTTTTCTCACCAGACCTCAAGAGACCTCACTACCTCTGAGGATGCTTGCCATAGATGCACGCAAAACGTCAAGAGAAAATGCCTCTAGAACATGGCCATATACCCCAAAAAACCTACAACAACCTAATTTCCTCACCACCTCCTGACATGTTGAAAAAGACTGCTGCCCCCCACACTTAAAAACTACACAAAGACTGCTCTCTCCTAAACTTGAGGCCAAATGAATGTGGTGGGATCAGGGGCTTCCTGAATTTTAAATGAAATGGTTAGATGTTTTTATTTATATTTTTAACATGACTGAGCTTTGGAGAGCTTCTGTTCAACCATCTCAAAGCCCTGCTTGAGCGGTGATGGCACGATCATCAGCATAGATAAAACTCTCTGTCCCTTCAGGCAGTGGCTGGTCATTTCTGTAAATGTTGAACATTGATGGAGCAAGCATGCTCCCCTGAGGCAGACTGTTCTTCTGTTTTCACCATCTGCTTCTCTGGCCCTGGAACTCAACAAAAAAGCTCCTGTTTTGTAGCAGATTTACTATGAATCGGGTGAGGTGGTAGTCCTTAGTGATATTATAATTTTTCCTCAGGAGAAGGAGATTATTTACAGTGTCATAGGCTGCTGACAGGTCTATGAAGACAGCTCCTGTAATCTGCTGCTTTTCAAAGCAGTCTTCTAAGTGCTGAGTCAGGTTCAACACTTGTGATGTGTAGCTTTTGCCTTTCCTGAAGCCAGCTTGCTGTGGGATCAGAAATGGGTCTACTTTTTCCATGATTCTATGCAGAATAAGTCTCTACAGAACTTTGTAAAGATGGCACAGCAAAGAGATTGGTCTATAGCTTTTTGGATCATTGCGGTCTTTGCCTGGTTTCAAGACGGCCATGACTCTTGTTTTCCTCCAGATTTTGGGGATCTGACAGGATGCAATGCAGTTGTTCATCGGATTTAGCAGCTTTTGAGCCAAAGTTCTTAATTTGTTTCATCCCTGGATCTTCCAGGCCAGCTGCTTTGCCATTTTTGCATCTATTGAAGGCCATGTCCAATTCAGTAGATGTAAAGGGTTCATGAAGGTTGTTGTTCTCAGTTTTGGGTTGTCTGACTATTGGTTTCCTTCCTACTTTGGTGGGTTTCCCATTCTTCATTAGTCTGATCTGCCTTTATGTTGACATGAGTATTAGTTTGTGAGGAATCATTGCTCAACTGTCTTAGCAGCCTCCACGCCTTCTGACTGCTCCTTCCCATGTCGACTTCAGTTCTTTCTTGGCTTCAGAGATGGAGGACAAAATGCTCTGCACTGTCTGAAGAGTTTGCTCCCTAAATGGGTCTTCGTTGTGGAGCCTGTAATAGTCTTCCAGCAAGGCAGCTGTTTCAGGAGTAATGCCCCGAAGGAAGTGTGTTCTGCAGCCTCTCAGTGTAGAGGCTCGTGAGCAGGTTTTTACTATTTCAATAAAGTGCTTGTATTCCTCGGGGATTGGGGTGACCGATATGATCTTGTCATCTAACATGCCTGAGAATTTAGTCCAATCTGCCTTTCTGAAGTTGAATCTTTTTTAAAAACGGACTTTCTTTTTTTTTTTTAAATAATCTTTATTCAGTTTTCCATAAAAAGTAAAAATCAAAAGAAAAGACATAAACATAAGCAATCTGATGGAAGGGATGGGGAGGAGGGTGTAGGGGGGGGGTAGGGAGGGATTTGAAAAGCTTGAGAAAAAAGTATAGAGCAAAGTGGTTTCTGAGTATTTACTACGAATGAGTATCTATACAACTAAGATGTGCCTAGTGTTGAAACAAGAAATTGGGAAGGAATTGTGAGGAAACAACGTGAGGGAGGGGAATGGGGTATGTGTATTCTGTT